TGATAAACTGTCCCACCACCTCTGCCCTTGGGCCTCCGCTCCCTCCCATCACACCCTGAGGAACACAAGGTCCCTTCCCGTAAGGCCCTTCTGTCCCCATCATCATCCCTTCGCGTCCCGCTATCTCACTCCTCCGACTCATTTCTCTGAGGGTGTCACAGCCCTGAGCTGGCCACAGCTTTAGAAGGGAATTTCCCAAAGATCAAAATGTCTGCTAAGTCCAAAAGCCAGGCTTGCTTTCTTTCTGTTCTTAGAAAATTATGTTTTCAAATAAAGGCTAGAAATAAAAGGACTGGTAACAGCTCTCTACCATCCACTGAATCTCAGCGAGGTGCCTTCTTTCTCTCAGGTTTGCTCTGAGTAATGCTGACATCCCAAGCTGCAGCAGCCTCTTGAGCTTCCCCTTTGGGTTTCTTTCCTCCCACCCCTGGGAGGTCTGACAGCGCATCTGCTCCTTAGTCCTGCCAGTATCTTCTGCTGGCAGCCTGGAAACTTTTTGGAACTACTTGACTACTGCTCTTAAGATTAGGAGTTAACTTCTACCTTCAGAAGGCTTCCTCCTGGAAGTTGGTCCACATTTTGAATGCTGTAGGATGTGTTGGTCCTCATATTCCTGGTTCTCACAGCTCAGAAATGATACATATAGATGGAAAAGGTTCAAAGAAGGGCAAAGATTATCTAAGGTTTGAGATAACTGAATAAACTGGGATACTGCAGCCTCGAAAAGCAATGACTAGGATGGAATATGATAAAGGTCTACAGTATCTCCATTGCCCAGGTAAGGGTGGATAGGACCAGCACTTTACCATCTTTCCAAAGAATGGAGGCATCAAATTAAATTAGTTGGAACCAGGTCCGAAACAAAAGACTAGATGTCTCCATGGAACAAATTGTAAATCCATGGAACTCCTTTTCAGGGGTTCAGGTGGAGATAGGAGAAGGATAGTTTAGGACTTACTGAAGAGAAATTGTGGAGTCAGGAACATCCCCTAAGCTAAAAATTGGCAGCACCTAGAAGTGCATCCGAAGGAAGCATCATTAGCTTACCTACCCTGTCCTTACTCTTCCTCCAGGTAGTTGCTTGTAACCACTCTTGGAGGCAAGACTGGATGGGTTCTTGGTCTGAAACCACTCTGCTGTTCCCTCAGACTCAGCAGAAAAGCCCACAGGCAAGAACAGTCAGACCATCAGCAAAATTCACCTGCATGCCCCCAGCATCCAAGTCATCTCCCACTTCTCTCCTGTCCCACCTGAAGCTCGGGTCACTCTGCTCTGCAGATTCCTCCTGGATGGGACGGCTGTTTCCACCCTAGGTACACCAGTGCATATATACTTATAAAATACATATTATATTAATTCATTTAATATATTTATTATGGTGTATGTGTATGTATTTGTTATGCACAGTGTGTATCCTACATCCAGCTGTCATTTTGAGGAGTGGGACCCTTGCAGCAGGTACAAGAAAAAGCCTGAGTGTTTGCAGCTCAAATCCGCCTGTTTTTTCAGGCAGGCAAGAAAATTTGAAAGAAGTGTTATGGCGACTGTAACCCAAGAAGCAAGGCAAGATGGGCAGATGGTTTTAGAGAAACGTGTTACAGGGCAGCACTTTGAGGAAATTGATTCTATGATTAAAAAAGCTCACATACTTGGTTTGGGGGAGAAGCACCAGGCGGGTGGACAAGCAATATACACAGGAGCCTTGGGTTCCTGGCTCCGTTACTAACAGCCAAAACTCTTGACCTGCCCAGGCCTCTTCCCCGTGGTTACAGACAGCCCTTCCCTTTCCAATAGCTCTTTGCTGGTTTCTCTCCACTGCAGCGCTCGCTGAAGTGACGGCAAGCGGGCATAACAACGAGCTGGAAACCCGTGTGCCACCTACCTTGGTAATGAAGCGGGGCTTCAAAGTCGAGCTTTAAACAACACGCCACATGGGCTATGCCACCAAGCTCAGTACCTTCCCCATGACAAAGCCAGAAACAGAAATACAGCTACAAGCTGGATTGTGAGTTCACCAAGTCACTCGCATTGCAGAGCATGTTACCTAAGGAAAAAAATTGCCTCTCGGATCACAGAGATTCATAGAACCACATCACATTACCATGAAATGTAACTCTGAGTTATTTGAGCTTCTCTGCTGGAAACTGGCAGCATCCCCCAAAAATGAAGAGGGGGAGTAGTTTACCTGGCATCAAGGTTTACTCCCTCATCTCAATACTATTGACAGAGTACTAATGCTCATATGAGACTGAAAGCTATGAACCAAGTTTGGTATGTAATTGCTTTTCTCCATGTTACCTGTGGAGTATCCTACTGCCTGCCCAAGTCTCTCCATTCAGCACCTCCAGGAGGCTACCAGAGCACAAAGGAAACTTGACTTAAAGGCAAGATAGGAGAAGAAAAGGAAGTAAGTTGTTCTCTGTGCTTGTCTGTGATGTCTCAGTGTGTTAGCAGCAGCCGAGAACTTCAGGGAAAGATGTCAAAGACAGAGGCACCATGGAGGAGGGTGGAATTGTCCAACTCTTAACCCTTGCTGGGCATATACAGAACCAAGGAAATAGCTGCATACTAAACAGGAGTAATTTACAAAGATGCAGTAATGATTCCATCCTATGTGATTTAGCAAATCCAATTACAGTTGCACTTCAAGAGGGCCAACAGCACCCTGGCTTGTATCAGGAATAGTGTGGCCAGCAGGAGCAGGGCAGTGACCGTGCCCCTGTCCTGGGCACTGGTGAGGCTGCACCTCGAATGCTGTGATCAGTGTTGGGCCCCTCCCTCCCAGAAGGACATTGAGGGGCTGGAGCGTGTCCAGAGAAGGGCAACGAAGCTGGTGAGGGGTCTGGAGCCCAAGGCTGATGGGTAGCAGCTGAGGGAGCTGGGGGTGCTCAGCCTGGAGAAGTGGAGGCTGAGGGGAGCCCTTATGGCTCCCTACAGCTGCCTGACAGGAGGGGGGAGACGGGGCAGGGGTCAGGCTCTGTTCCGAGGGAACAGGCAATAGGACGAGGGGAAATGGCCCCAAGTTGCGTCAGGGCAGGTTTAGGTTGGACACTAGGAAAAATTTCTTCACCCAAAGGGTTGTCAGACACTGGACCGGGCTGCCCAGGGAAGTGGTGGAGTCCCCATCCCTGGAGGTATTTAAAAGGTGGGCAGATGAGGTGCTTAGGGACATGGTTTAGTGGTGGGATGGCAGGGTTAGGGGAACAGTTGGAATGGGTGATCTTAGAGGTCTTTTCCAACCTAAACGATTCTATGATTCTATGATTTAAGAGACGACTCCAAGTGCTGCTAAAAGAGTTTATTAAAGACTGTTCTAACAGTTCTCATAACAATGGCACGTACAATGATTCAAAATCATGACAAATAGCGTGGAGTTTTGAAGAGCACTACTATAATACACCATGGACACGAACAAAGCAGATGTGCCGTCTCAGAACTCTACGAGCAGGCCCATGAAATACAGAAGTTTATCATATAGCCGTATAAATGTCAGAGAAAATAGAAAAAAAAGTAAAAATAAAAGTCATTCAATATGCAGTTCTTTAATTTATTGACAGTATTACAGTACTTTATGGGCTTGTTCCAGCTGCATTTTCCAGAGTATAAGGGCAGCTGGAAATAGCAAAAAAATCCCCAAAACACTATAGACCCTCTAACAAACACATCTCAGGTGCAATCACTACTTCAGACCTTCCTGCTTATGAATTTCCAGCCAGAAATTCTGACCTCCCTGCAATCACCTTCCTCAGGACCGAGTTTCGTTTTGCAAGAAAACGAAACCAGGATGCTTCTTTAAGACAGTGCAAAAATATTTTCAATGGTATCGCTAAATCACAGATTAATGACAATCAGCATGGATCAACAGCAGCACGGCCAACAGCGACTTCAAGATCAGAACTGCACGGACCTGCTGCCCCTTGACCAGCACTCCAGACTGGGTGCTTGCAGACGGGAGACGTGTTGCCCTCTCCCAAGTGAGCCATCATCTCCAGGTTCATAGTGAGGAATGGTCTCAGCTACTCCAGGGTAACAAAATGCTACAGAAAGCCTGCAAGTATTAAATTACCTAATCCTATGTCAAAAAACTAACAGAAGAATATCGAAGTGGAAAGAGTACATAGCAGCCATGTTACTTGTCACGGCTCTAGTGTTGTTCCCTTCCTTACCGTGTCAGTCACGGCAGCCTAAGTGTGACTTGCGGAGTTCAGCAGCTTACAGCACCCCCGTGGTGATGCAGGATTCCCAGCAGCACGTGGGGATTTATATTCTCCGAGACACACCATCTAATTACAGCGGCAGGGCAGCTGCAGCCTGCTCCCGGCGTGTTGCCTTTGCAGCTTTTGGCTATGAGATCTTAGGCCCCTCTGCACTTGTCCCACTGGTCTCGCCCATGCTCACGGCAGCACATCCATGGTCATACATTCATTTGATGTGCATCTTCAGAGCAAGTTGCAACTTCTTTTTTGAGCAGACATCGAGGTGTCTGCGTATCACGTTGGGACATTGGTATGATCTGGGCCAGAACATCCCCTGGCAGCTCCACAGGACACGAACTCAATGAGAGAGAACTGTGCTTTGCCAAGCCCCCAAATCATTCTTCTTCTCCCAATTTCCACACAGTTGTGTGTTTGTATCGTAGCCTGATTATGTAGAACCTTTTTAACGTCTGCCAACTTCAGAGGATAAAATCACAGTGCTGCATATCAACAAAACCCAGCATACCCAGCCTCCAATATAAAATAATTTATATACACAAAGCAGAATTTGCATCTTAAATAAGAAGAGATTGTCTCATTCTCTATGGTTTCTTACCCAGCTACTAAAAAATAAATAATTCACATCAGATTGATGGATTTGTTTCCTGTACAGCACACGTGCGCTATTGGAGCTGACAAAGACAACATGAAAAAAACCTTTTGTAATTAATAAAAGAGAATTGCTGAACACTTGCACATATTGGCACAAGGCAGAAGAGAAAAGTGAACATTACACAGCTCAGCTCAAGTGCCCTCCTCGGTGGAGCGGGACTCAGATTTCAACTTTACAAATTCTCTGGCAACTTCATCATTGGTTCTTTGAGAGAGAATCCTCAGGACCGTAAGTCCAGTCTCATCCATGTGAATCCTGCGCCCGAGGGGGCACCAGCAAGCACAGCTTCCTTTGTCTGCTATGTCTCTGAGCTGCATCACTGCTATCCCCAGTACCCGGTCCTCCCGAGCAAAGCAGTAGTCCTTCACACAGACTTGGAGCTCGTAGGCATCAGGACCATCTTCATTCCCCAGGATGCTGAAAAACACACACAGGTTTACTTGCAGCTTCTCAGAACATATAAATTCCTCTGCAAAATAAAGGTGCTGGCAGCTGACCACAGAGTGCCTAGATGAGCCACAGAAAACCCATATCTACAGAAAAACCCTGGTCAGAGAGGGAGGAGGAAAACCTATGGCATATGGGCATTTTTGGTGTTTCACGGCTGATAAAGACAACCTGGCTACATAAAAAACAAACAATCCTTACCAAGCTGCCTTTGCATGTGTGCATGTGTTAAACTGCGAAATGTGAGGAGCAGAGAACATTAAAGCCATGCTAATTGATTTTTAACTCACATGACTTTGAACATTGCCACTTCTGTTCAGGGTTGCTTCATTTCAGCAATTAATATTTTAATTAGATGAAACCTTTGTTAAAGATTCAGAACCTTCCATTAAAGCAAAAGCTAATAAAAATACATCCCCAACCTTTCTGATGTTTCTAAAATTAAAAGAATTTTTAAGAAGGGACAAAGTCCCTTTAGAGGAAGCCTGCCTTTCCTCACATCAAAGAAAAATTGCACGGCCAGTCCCTCTGCCCCCAGATGTTTACAGCCTTTTGCTGGTCCTCTCTTCTCCTCTCATTCTGAGTGTACGGCCGGGTGAGCACTGGTCTGCACCTCCCTATGTTGAACCTTCCAAGAAGGAAGAAACCTCTGTAATAACGAAAGCCAAATAAGAGCAGCTCAATACTCTGTGTTGAGAAAGACTGTGATTTTAGCAGTGCAGCTGACTACCAGTTCCCATGGCTGTATCCTTGCAAACAAGCTCAGAAAGCTTGTCCCACAGGTCAAGTTGGGATAAAAACACAGATTAAAAGAACTAAAAATATGTAATGAACTTTTAGCCTCAACTCTATCAATAAAAGACACACAGTTCATTAAAATGATGGAGCACAGTAAAATATGTTGAGAGGACAAACAATGTGTTTCAGAAGGTAGCCAAAGGACACTGCTGGTATAGAACAGACCTCAGCATCCCACCCACAGCAAGAACTCCCATAATCTAGCTTTTCCTGCCAGGACACCAAGCACTTGGCCAAGCTACTGCTTCAAGCGCTCTCTGGGGCCTTGAGCAGGCTGTTCGTGGACACTGGAAAACTGTATCCATCCTCTGCATCTGCACTTGCCTCGTCAGATCCCCCGGGCACTTTTCACACTTACAAGTGAAAGGTTTCATTGTATTTGGGAGCCCAGTTGTTGCTCTTTGACTTGGTTGTGAATTTCCTCTTCTTGTCACTCTGGTGGGGCCCAATCATGGTGATTTCAACGAATGGACGGAACATGCCAGACGTTTGCCACTTCAGGTCGTTGGCTGCCACAACTGGAAAAAGAGAGTCACAAATTGGTTTACAGTAAATACCCATTTGTTCCCATTGCTCTGGACACCTTTCCATTCTGCTTTCAATTTGTTGTTTCAGTGGAGTAAGTCCAACTTAAAACAGGCGAGTGTCCCAACACACACGGGCAGGACTTTTTTGTAATATGAAGATACACTGTTTTGCTCTAGTTTAAGTTCTGTAAAGGGAATTTAATGCTTGGGACAGCACTTAGCTTTTGCCGTATGGATAGTCAAGAAATTAAGTCAAAAACCCCAGGCATTCATGCAGCTCCAGGCAGGCTGCCCTGCCAGTTCAGTGCTTAACTCTACATTATGCGTGGGACGAGAAAAAAAAGGGGCATTTTGGGGGACTTTTCCAAAAGGAAAATGAGACTGCAGGTAAGACAAACAAAGCCCATAAGCTGTGGGTGGTTCCAGAACCCAGAATTATTAGCTCTTTAATTCTCATCCTCTTTCAGGTCACTGCAGGGAGTAGACTGAAGCTCAGGAAATAGATCTGAAAATCAGTTTTTGCATTGCAGCGTAGATTTAGCCAGAAGAAGAGAGGCCTGAAGAGCTGTTTATATAAATCTATAGAGGAAATTAAAGTAGTTAAATATGCTGTATTCGAGCAAGGGAGACTAAGGAGGAAGAGGAAGCCTGGGATGAATCACTGCTTCGGTTATTTTCAGACCAGCTCTTCAGAGGCCAGCGTGGCCTTCAGGATGGGGGAGTGAAGCCTCTGAACTCTTACTGGCTCTGCAGTCTCTTGGTTTACACTGAGCAATTTCGCAACATTGCCTTGTCACGCTGCCCTGTTCTCTCTGCAGCACACACTAAACTGTGGTGTCTGGTTAGAGCCATCATCTGATTCTTGTTTACTTCATGTATCGTTGCCAAAACCCAACTGGACTATACATTGCCATGTCACTGGCTGGACTGGACAAGCTCATTTAGTGTTTCTCTACATGTTTCTGATGTGAAACAGAGGAAACAACTCTGGATTCACATCACATGAGCTAACACAGAAATATAATGACTGCCAACTGGAGATTTGACTCGGCACAGTCAGAGAGCCTGAGCCGTAACACATGCTTTGCCGTACCTTTCACTGTGACCTTGTGTTCACCGGTTCCTGGGTGGGTATACAGGTCGATCTGTATGGACACTTCACCCACAGGATCATCCACACCAGAGCCTGTTTGGAGAAAATTGACACCCCCCCAGTGCACACAGGGATTATTGTTTATTGGCCCCCAAGGCAATAGCGTTTTCACAGTACACCTTCCACAGCCAGCTTTTCAGTCAACATCAATAATGTAACATTAATGCAAAATAACATCAGGCTTGCATGCCCAACACGCATAAAACACTAATGTTTTTTGCAATCCACCATAAAGATTGCATCCTGTTGAGAACACTAGTGAGAATTTTAAAAGAATTTAAGAGACCTAAAGCTTGACAATGGACTCTCACGGAGAGCAAGGACTTTTCAGAGATTCCTGCCAAGCTATTGTGTGCACATGCAGGCATTCCAGTGGTGGGCACCAGCATTCCTGTCCACTCAGGGAAGAAGGGAGAACAAAAACCCCAACAAAACAACACCACCACCACACCAGAGAGAAAGTTTAGAGGAAAAAAAAGGACGAAGATGTTAGTGATTTGCACTGAGCCATAGTGCAGTCTCACCCTCCATGAAACTTTTTCAATGTCCTACATCAGATAAAAGTCGCCATCCTGACTGCCTATCTGCTTCCCTTCAGAGGATAATGAGAATCCCTTCAGTGTTGTGCACCAAAAATGATGAGGGAGAAGCACTCACAATTTGCATACTTATTTCCCTTCATCAATCAGCCAGGGAGAAAACAAGATGCAGCTTCAACGGAGGAAAAGATAACATGTTGTAACAGAGGCAGAAGATCTCATAAACCTTACAATTCATGTATTATGATGTTTTCAACTTTCAAACTTTTAATCATAATTATCATGCGATGTATGGAAATGACATTTTTCTGGGTAGGAAAGTCAAGATGTCATGTAAATTGCAGAAAAAGACTGCTTTGCAAAATGAAAATTAAGTCTTTGGTAAGATAGTGAGATTGATTTTCCTTTCTCTTTGATAACTTTCTGATCTGAGGTTGACAATTAGCAATGCTGTTGTAACTGGGATACCTGCAGGGTAACTGGGTACCTATGAACAGCAGTATTATTTTATCAATTTTGAGGCTAAGACACATCACTAAGTGAAAGAATTGCTGCATTTGAAATTCAAGATAAGGAGCTTGAAGGATACCATTAAACAAACATTTTGATTAGATAGATCTAACACGTCAACTTTCACAAGAACAGTCTGCAGGCAGCAAAAACACTCATTTAAAAACCAAGAGGTTGAGAGCTAATCTGTGCAATTCTCTGAAGGGAATTACATGGCACAGAACTGTAGGCAGTGAAAGTCACATTAATATACAAGTAAGAGTATCTGAGCAAACATAACAGAACCGCAAATTATTATCTTAAGGTAGATTCCAATTCTTGACCCGAGTACAATAAACAGCCTCTCGGCTGTAACATTTGTACATGATCTTGAATGTACCGTTTTCTCCCCACTTAGAAGGGCAGTGTTCCTTCTTTTCTGTATATAAGCACAGAACTTTAAAATTGGTAGGCTTAATTATTGACCTGACCCATCTAATGGTGCGGGTCTGTCACACTGTTGGCATTTTCCACGGGAACAGACAAGATTACAAACAGTATATAACAATTTTATTCGGTAACATCTGCAAAAACATCAACTGCCAAACACTGAGGTCTTCATTTTATTATCTTTAGTGTAGTTAATAGGTTATAAAGAAGACACTGATGCTTCAGAGGAATGACAGTGCAATCATCCCATTACCTCTGAGGGAGACAAAATTTAGATTTTCTTTTTTTTTTTTTTTGTTCTACCTTCATTCTTGTCTTTTCATACAAAAATCTTTTTCTATTAACTGAAACGTTAGAGACAAAACCCCACTTTGTAGATGACCACTGAAAAATATTCTGATCATGTACAACTGTGTATACATGTTACACATACTTGCACATTTAGTGACAAGCAGATGTAAATCTTGACATGAAAGTTTCATTGGTATTGCGATACTGGAAGGTGAAACTGCAGAACTGAGCTCATGCAATGTGTTACAGATGTATGTCACCTAAGATAACAAAAAGACTTTGGACAGCAGAAAATAAATTGAGAGATAAAACAGAACAAAACTTAATTTTTTAGGTCTCTCCTGAGCACCCTGACTTTTAGCTACCCCCCTTTAAGCCAGATGTTTCAAGCTCGGCCATAACTTGGAGTGCATATCAGACATTACCATGTATTACAGTAGCCCATTTCAGCAGACCATATGCATGCAAGTCTAGGACTTGAAACAGCAATACATAGCCCATGGTAAAGGGTAGGGGAACAAGTCCATAGCATCTCTCAGAACAGTCCATTTTTGAGACAGCTTTCACATCCCATGAATAAATCTCAAGCTTGGGGACAGGGTCTCAGGCAGGGTACAGAATTCTACACCGTGCAACCCGTGGCTCCATTTGTGGGATGCAAGCATTCGGTGAAAGTTCACTTCTACAGGGAGCTATGAGGAACGGGTCTCTGGAAAAGGTTTCTGAGCATGGGCAAGATGACTTCAAAAGCAAGGCAGTTGGCTAATGTTGTTATGGTAACAACATTAGTCGTGAACATACCCTTATCAGGAAGAACATCCTCATTAGCGGTAAACCTAATACCTTTCCCATCATGCACTGAGACATGAATTCAAAAGGCAAGAAGCAAGCAGGATAAAGAGAGAATAGTGTGAATTACAATCCAATTAGCGGTGTCAGTTAAACAAATACAAGACAAATATTCTAGCTCTTAACAGACAAAATATCCTCTTAGATCTTCTGCACCAACACAGGCTTCGGAGAGCAAGGCTGTCTGTGAGTAAGGGATTGTCTGGTTTAAAACAAGAACAGAATTGGTGCTGGCATAACTAAATTGCAAGCCCTGACCCAACTTTGCAGAGCAAACATTTAATGGCATACCGCTATGGAAGCCGGCTCAGTAAGAAAACGAGGGCAACAGATACCTCACAAACTGGAAGATGCAACCATTGAGCAGTGAAGTAAGAGAGGCAAACAGTCAGCATTTAAATAGTTTTGCATGCGGCCATTTCCTCCTATAGGCTTGTGGGAACCTTGACTCATGCAAAGGCAAACATCAGTCAGACAGCTCTGGTAAGCAGATGCCAGCTGTAAATTCTAGTACTGTCCCTTCTGTCCCTCCAACGCCTGTGCAGGTCTCTAAACCAATCTACCAATGAGGGTTACTGAGAAGTGTATGTAACCAATATCCTTTCCTAGCCTCAATCTCAGGAGCAAGTCATGCCTTTCTTCGAGATATTCCCTTATTGATCCTACAGATATAGGTGGCATAGCTCCAGTCTTTTGTCCCTGAACAGGGTCCAAAAATCTCAAGCCTACTAATGTAGAAGATGCTGATTTGGACCAGTTCAGTGGCCCACCATGCCCAGTACCTGTCTCCTAAAGTGTCTCAGAGAGCCACAAAAAAATGTCATCAGTCAGCTATGAGATATAATCAATGACCTCGCAACGAGTACATCTTATGTCCTAAAACTAGAGCTTAATTCTTTCTAAGCTTCTTAAAAAAAACCAAACCACCCACCACACACACACTTCGGCAGCAATGCTGTATACTGCTGCTGCTCGCAGATTATGTTCAATTCTCTTTGTGCATCTACTAAACACTCACCCTCAGTGGAGTTTTACAGTCAAATCATGCATCGCATGAAGCTGCTTCCTCCTATCAACTTTGAATTTGCCACTTTGCAACTTCAACGGAGCATCTTCTTCCTCTAACTTTAAACACTCCTGACTGTAGTATGGAGTGCAGAACAGCAGCGCTGCACACATCCTTGTATCTTGACTCATCACGACAACATAACAGGATCCACATAAAAAAAACTAGCTTCAATTCACGGTCTGGATATATAATGGGAAACATTTGCCGTAGAACAGCAAAGATTGAAAAACCACTGTACATGCAAGTTCCCAGTCAAAAAGTGTTCGTACAACTCTAACAGCAACAGCCAAGTTCCCGGAGTCCCCTGTGAATGTAGCAGTCCTTGACCTGTCTGGCCACTGGATGTCATCGTTGCTCTGCTGGGACACAGCTATAGGACCATTCTCTCAAATCCACTCTTTAGTTAACTTCAGTGTTCTAATGCAGTATATTTCAGCCTAAGCAAGATTATATCATGCTGCTAAAGGCAGGGATGATTCAGTCCCTTCAAAACTACACTAAACTTTTCACTTTAAAACTTTACAACCAAACCTTTTTTTGCTCAAGAGTTCTCAGTACTTTCTGCACTGGTTGGGGAATGCCAGCATCAAGTAGTCTCATTTGCACATGAGGAAAAAGTGTGTTGGCCTGGGAGTGCTTTCCCTTTGGTTTCAGGGCTCAGTGTGACAGAGTTTGTGCAGTCTGTGGGGTTGCCAGCTCTCATAGGCTTGGAAAGATTAAAGGAAAAAGGACCCCAAGCAAAAACGCGGCAGAAAGACACCCCCATGGAGTTGTATGACTTCTGCTGCTGAAAGGTAGTAGCCCAATGCTACAAGCCCAATGAGGCTTGTATTTAAACAGCCTCAAAGCATGAGTTTCAGTTTTGACCTAACCTCTAATAGCATCTGTCCTCTCTTCCTGAGACAAATGAGATTCATAGGCAGCGAAGGTCCCTGACTACAGACCAAATTATTCTCTACAACAGCCTGGAGATGTTTACATGAAAGCAATGAAAGATAGAGACAATTAACTGTTTACCCCTTCCAAATCAATGAAACAGCAGCACAATCGTGCCTTCCCAGAGAGCTACCGAAGAACTCTAGTGACGCACCCCAGCAGCTTACTAATAGGCTGTGGTGAATGGTAATCATCGGGCTTGCGCGTACCCTGTACTGGCTGCAGACAAAACACTGCTTTTGTTACTCTCTTGACAGACTTTTCCCTTTGCAGGCAGCGTGTGGCTCTGTGACTCGTCACATCGCTGTCGATCAGCCTTGGTCAGACCTAGGCGGGCTGCTGGCAGCCGGCCTGGGACACAGGCACCGACTCACTTCTCCCCGGCGTCTCGCTGAAATGGTCTCTCTCACCACTGTGGAAGTCTCGGTACAAACACTCCAAATTTCACGTAAGTCACCCATCCACTTTAATTCATGAAACGTGACTGTTAAATTGAGGATTGCAGAAAAAAAAGACCACAGACACCCCAGGACTTGTATTTCATGTATTTCTGCTCTCTCAAAATGTAGTCGTTGAGCAGGAAATAACCTCCTTTTCCTCCTTCCCAGTTTCGAAAGCTCTGAACTGTCACGCTCCCAGAAATGCTACTGCCAAAAGCACTCTACGAACTGGCAGTACAAGACAAAGCAATTACGAACAGAGCAGATCGCTCCTTTCAACTTTGCCAACAACACAAAAGAGTCTTACCCTGAGCTGTCTGAGTCTGGACAAAGGTTTTTATGAGAGTGTCTGTGGTCTGAGTGTAGAGAGAGAGAGCATATCGAAGTGACTGCAGGTCTGGACTCTTCTCCAAGAAGGTTTTCTTCAGACCATTCCCGCCAGCATGGAAATATTGCTAAGAGTAAAAAGAAAGAGGAAAAATACTGAGGAAGAATTGCAGCCAGCAACCAACATTTATGGGCTATTGTGCGTGCGGATGGGAAAGAGCCAGGGAAAATTTCACTGAACAGCTTCTGTACTGGAAATCCAGCTCTTAGACCAACTGATGCCCACTGCTCATGGCTTTCCTCTTTCAAAGCATGTAAATATAAATATGCTGGCTCCCAGCACATGCCAGTCACCTGAGCCTATTCAGGTTTGCACAAACATGGCAGTATCACTCGCTTAGTGCCATTATCACTGTAACAGCAGCAACAAGACTCCTGCCATCTCCTCAACTGGGACAGGCACTATCCTCCCAAATAGTATTTGGGGATGGAGCAAGGGGATGACAGAGGCAGAAATGGAATCACTCACTTTGATAGTATCCAGTGCCAGATCCAAAACAGCACACTGCTTTGGAGTGAGACTCCTGGTTTCTTCTCTCACCATATGATCCTGCAAAAAAAAAATTATATTTGACATGAGTATGCTGTCAGAGACTAAAGGAAACGGAGTCCCCAGTATCACCTCTTTCTCTGGATTCATGCTGTGGCTACATGGCCACAGCATTAATTCAGCTGTTTAAGGAACACTTAATGGAGTCTCTCAGAGTCATTTATTACAGCTTAACTTGAAAATAAACTCACTTTCTCTGTTTCTTGCAGGCACAGAAGAGAGAAATAAGCAAAGGAACTGGACAGAGATAAATGAAAATATAAAATCATAGTTTGTCTCTCAGAAAACCCAAACAGAAGTCTGCTTGCAACCCCTGTCATTCTAGACCAGCCACAACAAAACTCTCAAAACACCACAAAACTCTCAAATTCCACCACAAGGAATTCTGAGAAACAGATACTGGGCAATGTTGTTAGGTGTTGGTTGTGGATTTTTTTAAGTTCTTCCATCTACAAAGGTCACTAATTCGTCATATTGTTGGTGTAGAGGAAGAAAAACAAACAAGCAACACGCTCTAGAAAATATCTTTGCTAAAAGAAGCTGTTCCCATTAAGACCCACCATCTCTAATACCAAAGTGCCTGGAATCCCTCAGGAAGGGATTCCCTTACCTGCAGTGGGAGTGTATCCCTGTTAGACTCCTGCCTGCCTACAAGGATGTGCTGTCCTTTGGCATTTCACTAAGCTCCTTCTCTCTGATGGTTAGTCTAGGTCCCAGGGAAAACCAGCACATTTTAGGAAGTAAAAGCTTTGCAAAAACCCAGATTCTAACTCTGAGCTGCTGGGGTGTCACACCGACTGGCTGCAACCTGGGTGATGAAGCATTCATGAAAAAGATTCAGGCAAATGAAGCAAAGGCTACTTATCCCTGCCTTAAACCTGTCATAACCTCTGATAAGAGACATTTTTCAGGAGACGTGTCTACTAAATTGTCTTTGAGCAAAGCATGCCTAGTGTGTGGCATCCTGTGCACGCTTCATGCTGATAAGCCTGCTGGCTATCTTGCAGCCTGGTGATTCTGGTGCTTCTTCACACTGGCCTGGTGCTGTTCCCATTCATTATCCACCATGATCCATCTCCTGCTGATGGAAACAAGGCTCACTGCAGTCTAGGTGCAGTGCTAGGCATTTGCCACGCTTCTCACAGACATCTAGCTAGCACCTTTGCACAGTGCTGCATTAAACTCTACCAAAGATGCCTCTCAAGGCAGCGGTACCTCAGACAAGTTTGCACCATGCTTTCTTGAGTACTAGAGACATGCCTCAACTTGCCTGTTTCCCCCACACAGGCTGCTCTGGTCTGGGGAGGTATGTGTACTTAAAGGGGGCCTATAGGAAAGATGGGGAAAACATTTTTAGTAGGGCCAGCTGTGACAGGACAAGGGGGGATGGTTTTAAACTGAAGCAGGGTAGGTTTAGACTGGATATAAGGAAGAAATTCTTTACAATGAGGGTGGTGAAACACTGGAACAGGTTGCCCAGAGAGGTGGTGGAGGCCCCATCCCTGGAAACATTCCAGGCCAGGTTGGATGGGGCTCTGAGCAACCTGATCTAGTTAGCGGTGTCCCTGCTCCCTGCAGGGGGGTTGGGTTGGATGACCTCTAGGGGTCCCTTCCAACCCAAAACATTCTATGATTCTAGTGCAGTGGCACAGCACTCTGTTCGCTGAAACATAGCTTCTGTTATGACGAGCTGTCCTTAGGGGAGCAATACCACTCCTCCCTCTTCTTCATGAGCTGGGAGTAATTCAATTGAAGATGATGTGGCTTCACACTTCAGTACACAGAGGGTATAACAGTCTTTCTCTCTCTGACAGTCAGATTAAGTGCACAATCAGCCAGAGCCCAAGGCCACGTTCATGGGAGAGGCCAATTTAGTCAGGGTAGCTGTGTCCGCAAGGCAGAGTGACTTTCATATCTGTTGAAATGACTTGCTAGGTCTGCCTGCCAGATCCCCCACACAGCAACAGCAACTAAGTGGTCAGCATTTTTCCCTTAAACACCTGAAGAGCTCATTCAGCACCGCTCTGAGCGGGTCACCCTGCCGGTGCCCATGCTGTCATCACACAGCAACGCGTTACTGCTTTCTAAGAGAGTTTCCCAGTGCCATTCACTTCAACACATTATGTAAAAATAACCCAGTGACTGGACTGGTAATGCTTGCACCTACACACATAGGAGCCCACGACTGTCGTTACCCTGTGTACCTGCCCTCTGCAAATCCCACACTGTTCCTATAAAGGACTGTACAGGGTGCTACAGATTGCCAGCCAGGAGCAAGCCACAAGTATTTACATCAAATAATTATGCTACTTCAAGCAGAAGAAGTAAAAAAAAAAAAATTTCCTGGTCTATCGGACTCATCCTTATGTTCTCCACAGGTACCTTCAGAAGAACCTCCGCGGTCAGAACTCGGCTGGTTACACCGGGGGCAGCGCAAGGGAGAGGAGGCTGCTGCTCCCTGCTCCAGCTGACGGCTATTAAGCAAACCCAGCAGAAAGAGTTTGATAATAAATGGGAGGCAGATCTGTGGCACCAAGCTGCCAGGTTTATGGTTGGTTTTCTGAGCATTTTAAAACATACTGTGAAATTGATTTGTCATCAGGACGAGAACCTGTGCTTGTCAGGTCTGTCAGTCCCGGTTTTCAGCTGAGTTGTCTGATTCACTAGGGCTCTGTTCCCCCTGTTCTATTTAAGAAAAATAAAGCTTAAAATCCATCCCATAATTTTTCCAGGCTTTTAGCAGAACTGGAAAAATGCATAGGAGACGGACTCTGAAGAGCCATTTACTCACGCCTCCCCTGTTAGCTTGTATGTGCCTGCAAAAACAAAAGGACCAAAAAAAAAATAAATCCACCATGCTTAACACAGACTCAAATGATTTACACTCTCGCAATACCTTTGCTCTTCTAGAAATTTTTGGACGCAATGTCGGTTCACACCATCTGTCTGAACTAAAGGCCCTCCAGCATTCAGGTGGCAGAGTGCTTTCACGCTTGTGTACAGCGCTCTTGCCATATATAAAATCCTGTGTACCTGTGCTGCTGTAGTCCTATATGTGGGTATGCAAATAGAGGCTGGAACAGACACCAGGGCTTGCCTGATTTGCATGACTACGTTCATTTCTAAAAATGCAGCCCAGAGTTACCAAAGTTAAGCTTTACAGGACTGAACTGAAGATGGGCTGCTGCTGAGGGATGGCCTTCAGTGTGAATGGAAACCAGCAAAGCTTCCAGCTCACTCCTGGCAAAGGGCACCTTGTACATATTAAGAAATTCCAGTAATGAGAAAACACAGAAGTAAAAGATAACACCGGAAGTCATTAGCTATGCCCAAGAATGCAAGCAAGCCACAGAAACTCACACTCCTCTGAGCACAAACTTGTCCTTGTGACCTGGGAGGAGAAACAGCATGAATTCGGAGCTCTCTCTCTTTGACACCAAGAGTGCAGGTACAAGGCAGGGATGTCTTCTCTTCCTCCAAATGCTGGGTCCTTGCTGATGTTTTTGGAAGGGGAAGGGGATACTCACAGGAAAAGGGAGTGACATTTGGAGGGTGTGGTCCAGCTCCCACTCTCCCAGGCTGGCTACAAAGCTCCTCTCTCCCCCCATTTCTCTCATGGAAGTGACACAGAACACTGTAAGCGCAGGAAGCAGCGGAGGTAGCGCAATCCTTGGGAGCCACGATGTCACCAGGGAGGACAGCCTGGCTGTGGGAGTGCACGGGGCTGTCCCCCAGCACAAGTGACAGCTATTCCCCTGAGGAACCGCACTTGGAAGTTCATGTTATGTCACTGCTGACTGCTATGCAACAGCCTCAGAATGCAGCTGGAGAACAGCGTACGCATCTAATGACACACCTGCACGTCCAGATCACGTACTAGGATTGCTAATGAGCACTGCCTTGAATTGTTGTGCTGTCCTGGCTCACAAACGTGTGTATGTGAAGTCTGTCTGCTGGGCAAGGGAAATAGACAGTCATATAAAGACTATGGGAAAAGATGAAAGCATTTTGAAATCGCACTAATCACTTAAGGAGAATGTCCTTGCTGTGGGAAGATTTCCCTGATCACGCTCCAGGACAGAGTACACGTTCCGCTCCAACTCCCTTGCAGCGCCGTTTAGGCACTGTGACACCTCCTGTTTAGACCTCCTCTTGCACAGTACCTGCTTTGTAGCACAAGTCAAACCACAACACAGCGCAGTTTGAATGTTGGAAGGCGTGATTATTTTCATACCATTCCCATCGTGACCAGTGAATTAATGCTTGATTGGCTTACGATGAGGTGGTGTGCACTTAGTAATGCTCATGTCATGCACTGTCACGTCATGCACTGTCAAAACACATCAACATAGCCTTCACGCTAAATGCCAGCTTGCCTGTAAAGAGAGCCCACGCAGAAGGAATTTACAGACACAGGCTCTCTTCCATGAGCAAGTTATTTTTGTAACAGTGCATATAATTCATCAATAGCTAGCACAATCATCTTTCCAACCAGTATCTCACTATAAGGATCACATAAGGGACTCCCTTTTATATATGGGGATACAGAGGAACTGGCCAGATACTGAAAACTTTTTTTTTTTTTTTCATTTTAAATTGATATACAAACTGATCACTGTATCTACAGAAAAGAGAAACTACTTCGATGATTAAACCCGCAATAAAATGTATCAGTTAAACACAATACTGATGTTAGCAGAATGCATTTAAAAGCACATTTAATGCATTTACAAGCATTTCTCTGCAATTGCATTCAGTGACAAACCACTGGAGGAAGCACAAGACATGCTATGCGCTACTACACTTCCACACATGGACATTAACACAAGCCATGCAGAACAATACCTTCAACTTTGACAAGTGTCCCAGTTCCTTAGCAGCACTGAAAATCAACTGTGTGCCCTATGATTGCAAGAAGTTAGAAAAGAAGGGGAAAAAAGAGAAAAGATTATAAACAAGCTTTGCATGTTTTTCATCTGAGCAAGTCAAGTCAGTTCACAGACAGAACTTTGCATAACCACTCCAAGGCCAGTCACAACAACTTGACTCCATGCCAGTTTATTACCTACTATAAAATCTGGCATTTCAGTGGATACCAGATCAAGAGCTAGTTCAGAGCACAATATTCTGCTAACAGGTTCACTCGTGCTTACAGCAGCCACCCATTTAAATAGGATGTGCCTTCAAGTGGATTGCACAGGCTGGGGGTGAAGGCAGCGCACTGGCTTTGTCTGCAAGCACTCCTCCAGTTTTCAATCCAAGTCTAAATACACATGAAGATGGCATAAGACTGGCCAACCCAAAAGATCACACAGCTGATGACAACCGCTCTATAGAAGCAGAGCCCAGCCAACAGGGTGGGGGTAAGCATACACCAGATCAGAAACAAAGCAGAATCTGAGCCATTTTCGTGCAAGAGATCGGCAAATAAAGTACAGCATCACCTTTACATGTCAAAAGTTTGGCAATGGCTCTTCTTCCCCCATGGTGGGTTACTGATGCAGTATGACCAATGAAGAAACAAAAAGGGAAGATAAATCCCGGTGATGGGAAATCTTGCTCCAAGTCACTTTCACTCTATTGTAATTGATTTTTACAGACTTTCTCTGCAATGGTTACAACAAAGATATTTTTCCTTTTGCCCACCACAGCATTTGTCTGTTGTGTAAAATTCCTTTTGCCTGGGGAGTTAAGTCCAAAATTTAATGAGAACGCCAAAAGCAGACAACACAATTCTCCAGCTTCTTCTCACAAAGATGCTTTATGGCATGCTCTGGAATTTATTTTCTTCCCCCTCGCTCCTTTTCATTCAACAAATCTTGCCTTTTTCTTTAAAAAAGTCACAACTGCCTATTACTCCACTTGGAATGAACCCCCAGCCTACTGTGATTCTGGCTATGAACTGTGCATCTACCATATAATGAAACTTTGCCTTCCACTTCAGCCTTCTTAGGCTAGTCAGATTTGGGCTTTAGGACCAAGCCAAAGCTATGGGTGACCCCTCTTCCCTAACTGAACCTCCCCTCTGTTATCTCTCTCAGGAATG